ATGGAAAAGTATTATGGTGGAAGGGGTTTAAAAGAGTTCTTTATTAGATCAAAATGTCTAAAATTTCAACGGTCACGGTATCAATAAGATAGTATGGCACAATTGAGGGGTGGAAAGAGAGTGAATGGGGTAGGATAGGAACTAATAGAAAGGTGATTAGATCAAATGAAGGGTATTTATGCATCTGAGGAAGGAGAATAGGTTGTCATTTGAAAAGGTAGGGGAAATCATGAGGAAGTCTGACAGTTTGGAGGGTCGGGGGAGACAGGACAAGTAAGGAAAAGTTTGGGTACAGGATGAATTGAGAGGTCAGCACATAACCAGTGACCTACAGCAATGGCATACATATAAATGATTTCTGAAGAATTTATTCATAGTTCATATATACTTTTTTGTCCACTCCTATCTTATTCTAAATATATGTGAAAAATATAACTTTTCCTCTTTTAATAGAGTCACCTCAGTGTGATCTCAAATTACAATTACTGTATTGTTTCCAGATGTAGAATTTTAGGTCCACAATTAAGATGTCTGAGTAACTGATTATTAATTTTCAAACTATCTGTTGAATCTCTTTTATCTCCTTACAGACATTAAGATAACACAGCCATAAGTGACTGGAGGTGGTACATTTCTTATTGATGAAATCCTGTCTTAGGATGTTGTCAAATGAAAAAAAAAACATACATCACTATGTAAATTTTAACCTAACCCTGTACATATTTACCCTTAACAATTACATAAATTTCAAATTAAGGTTATTTCCTTTTCTAATGAGTTTAGTTACAGGTCTGGATAGCATATCCACCTGCTATTGTCGTCTGAATTTAATATCAATGTATTTTCTAAATTTAATTGTTTTAATTGTCTAAATAATTTGTTTATAAAATGGTGACTTTCTATTCTCTTTTTCTAATAAAAACATTTCCTTCTATCTTTCTCCAGTTTTGAATGTATTAAATAAATGTTGTATAAATGTTGTAAAGTTTTTATGCAAAAATAACTAATACAATCAATTGCATTGTTTTTCTATACTTCTCCATAGAAAGAAACAATTAATGATATCCATTCTTTTCTGGATGGAGCCAAAATTGCAAACAGGCAACTTAGCACCTTCTATCCTTTATTTTATTTAGTCAGTGTTAACAACTCAACTGATAATTAGTAGTTAAGGAAAAAATATGAGAAATGCTTTGAAAAAAAATTCTGATACAAACTCAACTGTCACATAAGTTAACAATCAAACAAAATGCAATAGTGGAGACATTGTGATGCCAAAAGCTCTTCATATAGCATTCACATATATAAAACTTATTCAAAACTTACTACCTTCTGAATATACCAAATTTTACTATACATAAAATTTTCTTGAAATATAACATTACTATAGTCAACCCAAATCCAACGGGCATGCCATGTATGTACATGCCATGCCCACTGTGAGCTTACTTTTTTAATTGTTTTTACATACAGATGGCTACACTTGTACTATGTCACCAATGAGCCAATTATGAGTACTGACTGTCTCTCCTGTTTACCCTTTACCCTGATTTTTAAAAATATTTTATATTATCTTATAATGTTGTTACTAATGTCAATAACATTATAGTAATTATCATATCTATAAAAAAATAACACCATTGATATTCATAGCATTAGTAAAAAAAAAAAATTTTCCCACCAATTCAAGGAAAAGTGAAATCAAATAAGGCTACAAGGTCTACTAATTGACTTCCTTGTGGCTAAGCACAAGCAGAGCCATCGATGTGCAGAGACATTTCAAAAACTTCATCTTCCCGGCAGCATTGAGTTGACCCAACCTCCCTGGATTTATGTTCTGTCCCCTGTAGTATTTTTGTGAATGTTGTTAGACACAGGAGTCTATCAGTAGGCTACCTATAATGACCGATCCTGATTTCCCCATTCCTTGAATTGGCTGGAAAATGTGTTTTTCTTTTTAATGCAGTTGCCATTGATACTGTAATTATTGTTATTGATGTTACGATTATAAAATTGTTCTTTAAATCTCAATAATATTTAAGACAATGAAATAATGCAAAGGAATATTTCCAAAAGTTGAGGACAAGGGTAAACAGGTGAGAAGGTAGGACTAATAAGCAACTCCTTAGTGACTAAGCACTTTTAGAGCCATCTATGTGAAAATACAATAAATAAATTTGTATTGCATTGGGCATAGCATGTATTCTTGCCATACATGGGGATTGGGTCAACCAAATGTATACTGATCATATTGAACGCATTTTTTTTTATACGATTGAAGAATCTGCAGAGAGATGTTCCAGGAAATTTTCTAATTGTGTTATTGAGCAGCATATTTCTGTTGCCAGTGTGCTTCCATTCTATATTTCAAATGGCCCATAATCTTTAATAAGACCTGTAAAGAGAAATAATCATTAAGTTAAAAAAAAAATCATTCATACAAAGTAGCCTATCATTCATCATTTAATGATATTAACCTGGTTATGAAAAAAATTTGCAACTACAGGTCTTTCATAATATAAATAATAGATTATAAGAGCTGTTGTCTACCTACATTCTTCTAAATTTACATTTCTAAAATCTCAAATAATTTTAATCAAGTTCAAGCTAAGACGTACAACTAATAGTTCTATCCTTAACATTCTGTAAACTAATGGTATACACAAGTATTTAAAAAAAATAGTAAGGTAGAAGACTTTAACCCAGGTTTTTTTTTTTAAGTTGAGGGTGAATATTTTCTAAATCAAATCAAGCAGGCACACTATCTTTTTTTTGTAATTGTCAATTCAGCAATAAACACAGAAAAACTTACATCTTTCTGTTTTTTCAAAGTTTGTTGCTTCTGATCAGACTTGAGCATGCTGTCATCAAGTGTTGTGCGAGTAACAGAATATAAAGCTTCAGAGATTTTAAGCATCAGTTCAATCACAAGTTTTGCATCATCTGGTTCTTTTACATCACCTTCTGCAATATCAAAATTGGTATCTGGTTAATAATGTTTAATGGTTAATGGTTACAAAGCAAAATATATGTGTTAGACATCAAAGGTAATATAGCACTACAGAAAGGTGTAATTTTGAAAAGGGTAAAGAGGTGATAAGTTGATGATTATATGTGCTACACAACAGAAGTCATATAGAAGTTCAGGAAGGTAGAGATTAATAAGGGCAATTTGATCAAAGTTGACAAAGGAAGATGTGTGGAATTTTGCAAAGTTGTCCTTAGGGTAAGAGAAGAATTATCAAAGAAGAAAGGGGTATAAGGGCAATAAGATCACAGATTCATTGCAAATGTCTGGATGTAGACAATCCAGGGATGGGGGTTGCTATGACAAAGAGTCACATCATGGGGGAAGTGGGAGGGATAATGGGTTAGGAAGGGGGATCATGTGGCTGAAGCAGGGGGAATGGGATGTGCTGGGAGAGAGTGGGAGGAAGATTCATGTTTCAAGAGTTTCTGCAGTGGAGTTGGCGGAGAAACAAAGGTTTTCTTACGGGGGGAGAGGAGAGGACCAATGTTTGAGGGGTGGAGGGAGAGGTTGATGGAGAGGATGGGGTAAAAGATGGGATGGAGCATTTAGCTTGTCTTATGTAAGGCAATGAGGAGGGGATAGTAGTAGTATTGTTCAGAGTTGTGGCAATAGAAGAGCCTGGACAAGAATTTGAATTAGTGGGGCTATTTGATAAAGGGGCAAGCCTTACTGGATTATGCATCCTCCAATTCTAGTTGATATTAACAAGCTGATATTAACCTCTACAATCTGAATGATGCTACTATCACTTTATGAAAAAATCTGGTTTGAAGAGCAGGTTATGTGAACATGCCATCATGAAAATTTTAGCTGAAAACTGAGGTGACAGTAATTACCAGCCACAAATACACAAAATCTGCCATGAACTCTTCTTGGGATTACACCTCTATGTCTTTCAATGGATGCCCTTGAGAAAAATGTTAGTGGCATTTGAATCTGAATATAAATATGGCCATGTCCTTGAGTGTAATTTCCCCACCAGAGAGTTGTGTGCCCCCTTTTGCAAATAAAGTAAGAATTTGATATATGGCAATGTCCTTGAAACCTCTTGTATGTTCCCCACTATCTGTTTTGCTCAGGATTGTTTAAAAGACACACATTGCTTGTTTACAGGGCACTCGTACGTGAGTGGTCAAATGGGGGGGGGGGGGGGGGGGAGAGAGAGAGAGAGAGAGAGAGAGAGAGAGAGAGAGAGAGAGAGAGAGAGAGAGAGAGAGAGAGAGAGAGAGAGAGAGAGAGAGAGAGAGAGAGAGAGAGAGAGATACAAAGTTTGTCAAATATATAATTGTTCTAAGTTATTTGGATTAAATTGATAGTTTCTCATTTAGGGTAGAGGATGGACATAGTCTAGCTGATTTATGTGATTGGTGGGAAGAGGGATGGTGGGTGGAGCTATAAAATCTCTAGCGTAATATAAAGAGTCAAAAAAATAGAGCCAGAACAAAATACAGGAACAATCAGCAGCAACTAAAATAAAATGGATTTATGATGCCAATGTTGGCATTGCAGTATATTCCACCGGTTTTTCAGGATGCTGAAATCGGCGTCACAGTGAACTAAGAGAAATTAGCCTATACAAATCATAAGAAAATTTCTGGGATAATGGAGGTTCAGTATATTTTCAAAGATTGACATTCTGTATAAAAAATTATGTATGTTCACATACAGAAAACATTAGAAATTAGTCTTTTCCTAAACATTAACACAATCCACCAATAATGGTATACATTGAGTTTAGTTCATTAATTGTATTAACACATAAATGGCTCCACAAGTTCTTAGTAAACAAAGAGTCAATTATTAATCCTACATATCTCACCTGTTTACCTTTTTCCTTGATATTTGAAAAAAAAATTATATTGCTTTTAGCATTGTCTATAACACTGTACTAACTATAATGTTAATAATAATATTACCAGCAATGACTTTATTAGAATTAAATAAGAAAGAATGGAATGGAGAAATTAGG